GATCCCTCTCATTATCTGAAGGAATAAAAAAAGAAGATTCAAAAGGTGACAACAAAAAAATCAATGGTTCTTTCAAAGAAATATCATACACTCAGTAACCTAAGAAATATATGTCACATATGTGTTTAAGTTATTTAAAATCAACAAAATGGCACGTGGCTATTTCTTCACCATTGTGTGCACCAGATCAAATATTCTGCTTCATAAAAGTCCCTGTGGTCTCTAGTTAATGGTAGCTTTATGTGATCAAGAATGGGATTTTTCTTGATTGACTTTATATCTTTAGCAGTTCCCTCAGCACATTGCTGTGAGAATTAAAGTCAATGATCTCTGAAAAGTGTTTAAATAAGGAGAAAAACTACAATTGCACACCAATCTCCAAAAGAAACTGAAAGGAGCATGGCTCTCAGTTAACCGAGTTTTTCAAGTACATTCTTAAGGATAAGCAGAAGGGAGAGACAGCGTACAAAGTACAGATCAAAGCTTGAAATAAAATAGGGCAAACTAAACTGACGTTAAGTACAATTCATGGAAGTATATAGAGCACGATAAAACCTAATTCACATGATTCTTGACCATCTGGATCCCGTATTTCACAGGACCAATGTGCATGTAAAGCTTGTATTGGAACGCTTTAAGGCAATACTTTTTAGGGCACTCTGGTGCCAACACAGTCTGGCTAGAGAGCAGTCAGGCTGGTTTCCACAGTTACTGCCCATGGATAAAATCAGGCCCTCTGATGACGGTGGCATAGGAGCAAGCTCTGTCGTTCAACCAGACCTAGGCTTGGCCTTCACCTCTGTCAATCACTATTTTGAGGAATAAGGTGTGGGAAGCAGAAATGCTACCCTAAATGTGACCATCATAGCATCCCTGCTTGTGCTATGTTATAGGGCACCTGTGGCACAGTGGGGAGATTCTGGGGGAGGGGAGAGGGAGGAGTGGTTAACGGAATCGCATGAGCCCTCAAAAGCAGAGAACATTCTCCGGGCTGGTGGCAGAAAGAGAAGCTAGAGAGACTCATATTGTGAGGAGGACAACACGTGCGTTCGCTGGTCTGAAGGTGGAGAGAGCCACGTGAGAGGGATGCTGGCGGCCTCTAGGAGCGCTGAGGGTCCCCTGCTGACAGCCAGCAGGGAAGCAAGGACCTCACTCCTGCAATGCCAAGGAACTGGATTCTGCCAATCACCTGAGTAAGCTTGGCAGCAGACTCTGTCCAGAGCCTCCAGGTAAGAACCTAGCCTGGCAGACACCTTAATTAGTACCTGTCAGCCCCTGAGCAGAATACCCAGTCAAGCGTATCTGTTCCACTGATCTGAGGAACTGGGATATAATTAGTGGGTGTGATGTGTTAAGCCACTAAGTTTGTGATGATTTATGGCACAGGATAGAAAACAAATACACAGGTCAATTTATTTGAATTCTAGAGCTTCTGAAAAAACAGAGCTGGTACAAATCAGAAGGGGCTGTGATAAGGAGAATGAGATGATGCGTGCAATGCGCTCAGCACGGTATTTAGCATGCAGTAAGAACTTCAGATGCAATTACGGTACCTTTAAATACCTTATTTTACAAAACTTCAGAGATTTCTGACACATTTTATAAGTCAACCTTTTGGAGAATACCCTGCAAAATTGTCTGGGCATTACTTTTGCCTAGGTTCCCCTATACCTTGAAGGGACTTGCAGGTTTGTGAAATTAAGACAGATGTGTGAAATCAAAGTAAAGTTTCATGTAAGATATCACAATAAATTGACCAGATGGCTCCACAAAACACACGTTAAAAGAAGTGGTTAATTTGCACTTGCATTCTAAACATGCTGTACCAGTTGAACACACAACACCACAAACAGTAAAAAGTAGACATCCTTAGAAAAGATTAGGATCCTCATAAGGAAACAAGGGTCACAGGTGCTCCCGGTTGTGGCTCTCCATTACCATAAAGAGCAGCTGAAAAGTTACCTGAAACCTGCACATAAATCTAACATCAACCTTAGCAAAACTTTCTAAATTTAGGACCCAAATGGGAAAGATCCAGTTCTGTATGAATGTTCTATTTGCTTACATTGTTCGACTGTCTAAATAGCACACGGGTACGTAAGTACAAGTGTAGGTTGAGAGAAAAGGGCAGGTCGTTAATTATGTTGGAATATTAGAAATGGGATAAAAAAAAGTAGAGTGTTTGTTCTGAGAGAAGACAGCCTGTATAATAAACTTAAAGCGTGAATCTCAGCTGTTGCTATCAGGATGAAGCGGGTGTTTTTATACATAGGAGATCAATAGACCAGAGTTAGGGGAAGGGGGTGAAGCACAGAATGGGAATTGAAATATACTGTGGGATGATAATAAATATAGTATCTCTTATTTATGTCACAAGAGGCAGACCTGACGGAAAAGCTGCCATTTATAACCGAGAGCTCTGAGGACAGCGGGACCGTGAGGTTATCATCATTCCAGGCCCCAAGGGAGCTGTTGAAAAGCTACAGGAAGCAAAAAGATATGGTCAAAGCAGGAGGTGCCGTGATGCAGAATGGCAAAATTGAGGAATCTGGTTTGGGTGACCATGACTCCCATAGCCACGTGCTAAAGGAATGGCCAACAACACAAAGTCAATCAAGTATCATCATGTCCTCAATCATATAAAGCAACTGTTTAACAAGAAACCATGGGAATACTTGAAAATACAGATCATTGTCTGTTTTCTCTTACTCAGTGCCAAACAACTATGGGTCCTGATCCAGGGGAAAAAGGCTCCTATTTTATTTTTCATTAGATAAAGAATACAAGGAAAAAACAAAATTTTATTCCAGTCTACTCCAAATTAACTCATTCAACAAATATTGCTCACCCACTGCAATGCTCTAAGTGCTGTGCTATGAAGCGAAGCTGCCGTGTCGGGTCAAGGCCAATGTCATGTCTGTTCTCATGTCACAGTCCAATGGGGAAAACAGAAAACCCCACAGCAATTATGGCATAGTGAGCATATTCGAGGAGGGTGCTATGAAAACAGTGTAATAAAGGTGAGACTTTCTGGTGGACATAGCACAGAAGCTGGGACCTACAGGACACCCAACCTTTCCTGAAAGAAGAGGGCGGGGAATGTTCTGAGCTGAGAGGTGGCATAGCTAAAGGCCAGAAAACAGACCTGTGCTCATTTTCAAGGGAATCAAAGCCATTCCCTACAGCTAAGAGACTACAATCAACATATATAATTGTCTACAAACTGGAATATTTTTACCTTTGTCATCACTGTGTGGTTTTTGTTTGTTTGTTTGTTTTTAATGGGGCAGCATCAAACTGGAAGCAGTTAAGAGTGTCCCCTGTGATAATGCATGATGTCTGTTGTTCACTCCGGATCCTGTGGATGCTTGTCAATAGAAAATTCTTGCTATTCCCAAATGTTTGGAATCCCTTATTTTGAGCAAAAGGGATAAGCTTGTGTTTCTGTTTTGTCATACATACCCTCAAGATTCAGTGGCATATATGTTACTGAGATCACAACTCAGCAAAGACGGATTAATGCCACAAAGTGGTGTTTTGTAGTGAGGTCACTTGGGAAGAAAGGAGACTAACCAGATAGCAATAGCATTGCAACAACTAGGATGATGGAGGACTGTACCCACCCCACAATTCTTCCGACACTGTTTCTATAAAAGCTCATTCTGACTAACATGTAGCTTAAAGATAAATAGCATGTTTGCATAAGAATTCTAGGAACCAACTTAAAAAGTAACAGACTCTGACCTTTAGTCACCCCAGTTCTGGGAGATTTGCTGACCTTCAGCCGCCATAAAACCAGGATGACATTCAACCAGAACGATGCACCCCAGAACACGGCTCCGCCAGTTTTGAGATCCTTGTCAGAGCAGACTGCGCAGGTCTGCCCGCAGCGAACTTCTCAAGCCCCTCCCCTTGATCTCTCCGTTCCGCTTTCCCTCTCCCTCCTCATAAAAACCTCTGCGTGCACTGAGATGCTAAGATGGGCTCTGAGACAAGAGTCTCTGTCTTCTCAGGTGGCCGGCAATGGAATAAACCTCTTTCCCTCTCACCAGCACCCGCCTCATGAGTGTGTCTGTGGCTGGGGCAGGCGGCGGGGCCTGGGTGTGGTCACACTACCCGACTTAAACCAGAAAGAAAACAAAGTCACTCCCCATCTCAACGCTATGCTCTCTAAGCCTCTGTTGTAGGCTGAGATAAAAGAAAAACAATGAAAATATATTTAACTTTTTGTCATGAAGGGATCAAAGTGAGAGCTATTAACAGTTGATTTCTTATTGCGAATCCACTGAAAACAGCGTGATGATCAATAATGAGACTTTAAGAGGCTCAGACTAGTACATTTTCTCATACATGCAGGCAGGTCCTTGAGGCCACGCCGAGGTGAGAAGTTGTTGCAATATTTCTTTAATCATAAACAACTAATGATTTATAAATCACTATAAACTATATGGAAGGCCTTACACTATACCTCATTTCCTATTATTAGTTGCTAGTAACAATTACTGAAATACAAAAAAATACAACTGTTAGCCACTCTATATAGAAAAATATTTACACTGATCACTTTACCATATTCTACTTATGTTCTGTCTTCAAATATATAAAACAAAGACAATTTTTACTATTAAAATATTAATAGTAAATATTAATATTAATTTACTATTACTATTAAAATAGTAATAGTAAAAGAATCATTGCTAACAAATGCTCCTTAGCAGTTATTGGTTGGAGCTATTTCCATACCTACTAATTTTTCCACTACAACAACTATGTAACAAAGGTCTTGTCGTCACCCTCATTTCCAAGGTGAGAAATCTGGGGAACAGAGAATCTCGGGGCTTGCCCAGAGTTACACAGGCAGTAGGTGGCAGCCCTGCAGCGGGCGCCAGACAGCTGGCTGGCGTCCATGCTCCTATCATTCCGCTGCGCTCCTCAGAATTAAACCAACGCCACCCCCTGCCTGGAAAACCCCTACTGCCCAGTGTGTCTGAGGCTCCTACCTTGAAAATGAAACTTGGCCAGTAGGGTTGCTTCCAGAGTAGGGAGTGAAAACACTGTCTGTGTAGGCAGGCTGGAAGACAGGCTGCCCTCAGGTTCAAAAAGATGTGTGAGCAGATGTTGCAGCCAGGAGCGTGAGAAAGCTAAGAGAAACAGAGGTAGAAGAAGACACGTAAGTGACAACACCTCCATGCAAGGGTTGATACCCTCGGGGGAGCTGGTTGAGAGTACATCTAGTGGTAGGCTTGGTTTTGCCCCCTACCTTCCCCTACCCTCCTTACGATTACTGATAAATACCAACAGGAAGGGGAGCCCTATTCAAGAGGCAGCCAAAGGTGACTGAAAAACAAAGGCAGGCATCAGTTAAACAAAGAGAAGGATTGAGGGAATGCACCCAAGCTTTCTCTCTGGAAGGAATCCAGAAGTTCCTGCCCAAACCCCTAGGGAATCGAGAGGATGGCTGAAGAGGGAGCCAGAGGCTTGCATGGGTGAGGCAGTGCCGAGGGGATGCGGGGCAAGCTGAACCCAGAACAGCAGAGACGCCTTGAAAGCCCAGCCAGGTGAGGTAGACGGAGGCTCAGGGGCTCTACAGCTCCTGTCTTTCGAATAGGCCCTCCCTTCTAAAGGAAATATTGCAGCCCTGGCTGGAGTAGCTCAGTGGATTGAGCACGGGCTGCGAACCAAAGTGTCGCAGGTTCGATTCCCAGTCAGGGCACATGCCTGGGTTGCAGGCCATGACCCCCAGCAACCACACAATGATGTTTTTCTCTCTCTCTCTATCTCCCTCCCTTCCCTCTCTAAAAATAAATAAGTAAAATCTTAAAAAAAAGAAAAAGAAAATATTGCTTAATAAGGATGTGCTATTTCCCAGCATATGCAGCATTAAACGTTATCTCTATCGTGACATCACTTAACAATTTTCAATAAAATGGTAAAGCGATTTAACCACCACATTAATAAGCTGCAGTCATACACCCTGTACACTTCATTAATACACAAATTACACTTCTGTAAAGTGAACTTTACTAATAGTGACAGCAGACAAAGCTTCATGTCCCATAAAACGTGTCAACAATGTCAGGTTAGGGTTCCACAGAATATTTAGGTAACCTACTGTATCAGAAAGTTAAAAGTGAGGATCAACCTTACTCATGGCAGATGGCAATAGTGTAGGTGACCAACCCGCACAGGCATTTCACAACGTTCTACATACCACGTAGAGACAAAACATACACACCGCCCCCAGGGGCACTGTGCCGAGTGGCCGCACTGGGCAGAAAGGGACATTGTGGCTGCAGGGAGGAGACTGGCAGGAGCCGGAGGTGGGGGGTGGGGTGAAGAGGTGGGTGAGGGGCTCAAAGGGTAAAAAGAAAAAACAAAATTAAAAACAATTAAAAAAAAACTCCCAAACAACCAGCAAAGATATTACCAAATCAATGCACAAGAAGTCTATGTTAAAAATCTCCCTAGCAAGTCTGGTTAGCTGGTGTCTTAACCCATAATAAGTTACCAGTTAAATTAAGGGCTATCTCTCTCCACTGCATGCCAGGGCCCCAAGCCGTTCACGGAGTGTGATTCTCCCCTAGCCTAGTGTTCACCTGTCTTCAACCACAGCAGACTTGCATTTCAAACTTTGTACAGGAGGTCAATGGTCACTTCAGACGCACTCTTCAGAGAAGAAGCTATAAGCCAGGTTTTCTGGACAACTTATCTAAAGCAAAAGCTATCGATCTGCTTGTGCCATGTCAAATGACACAGAGTACCCAGTAGTACCCAGTAGCCCTTGGGCGTATTAACTTCGATGATATGTAGCTTTAAGCATTTTATTCTGTCTACACCTACTGTTCTCAACCTGCCACACCGTTCCTTGAATCTTAGTCTAAACCACCATCCAGCCTCCCTTGGACTGCCCTCTACACTACCCAAGAGCACCCCACCCCCGAATTTGCTCTTCTCTGACTAGAGATCCTGGTAAAACATGGATTGTATCATGTCTTTCCCCTCTTAAAACACCCTCTGGAGGTTCCTCGTTGCCCTTGGGATTCAGTTCAAAACAATACTTGGAACCAACTCTATGGCAATACATAATCCATCTAGTTCCTGCCTAATTGTTCAAACTCATGACATGCCACACTCCGCCTTCCTCTCTGACACCTCTCTTCCCTGGCCTTTCAAAAAAAAAATCAAAACCAGACAAACAAAATGAAAACATGCTTGTGTGTATACACACATCGCATGACAAAAAAATAAATGGACTCCATATTCTCTCTCATTATAACTAAAAAAAAAGCCCAAAGAATTTCAAAAATTAGTATTTGCTTCAAAACCACATATCCTTCCTGTACATAAATAAACAGAGCTCTGAAACGCAGAAAACAAAGTTGTTTCTAAATCTTGCTGGATGGACAAAGCAAACTTTTTTTCACAGTGACTGGCATACCGAGAATGAAAATATAAGGTATAAATTGAACTACAGGCACTCAGATACAGGGCCGACAGGCACTTGCTCTTAATAAGATGAGCCACTGTTATCTGAGATTTGAGCAAGACTGCCTTTGCTCAAATTCTTTCATCTTAAATTGTCCCATAGGAAAACCACGCCATCATCTGAACAGATGATGATAACTGTTATTGCTTAGTAAGCGCCTACCATAATCCAAGAGCCACACATAACAGGGTAAAGGTTTTAGCTCCTGTGCTGTTCATAGAACCTGGATGAGGCAGGAACAATTCCTACACATCGTTCTGACAAATGATGAAACTGCCAGCATCAAATTCCGGGCAGCCCAATCTCCTAGACCCTCTACCAACTGTGCCCTAAAAGTGTACTTGACAAAAGTCAGCACGTAGCCTTTTTAAAAAAATAATGAGTTCTTCACTAAAGAAATAGAATAATAATCTCTTAAGATAATAAAATGTTCCTTATGCTAATACCAACTTCAAGCCTACTAGCAAATCACTATGGGTATTCCCATTGCATTCAGGAATAAAAAGAAGATACTCTGGTGATATTCTTTGGCATTTTCTTGGAGTTTCCAATTAATGCAAATAATGGCATAAAATAGAAACAATAGTTATGATTACTCATGGATAAAACCACTGCCGGCATATTCTATAATTACTTAACAAAGCTAAGCAAATTACATAAGGTGTCGTAAGAACTAAAATAGCAAGTTTTATGAGATGGTTTTGAACAAAATAAGTGATAAATGAAAATTACATAACCAATAATTTTCATATTCATCCTTATATATCTTAACAATATGTAGAACAATTTATCTACCAGGGGCATCCAACCTGCAGCCCGCGGGCCACATGCAGGCCAGGACAGCTGTGAATGTGGCCCAACACAAAATTGTAAATTTATTTAAAACATTATGATATTTTTTGTGACTATGAGTCACAATGTATTTAATGTGTGGCCCAAGACAACTCTTCTTCTTGCGGTGCGGCCCAGAGGCGCCAAAGGTTGGACAGCCCTGATAGCCCCTGATGACAAAATTATATAATATTTAGGAATGCATATGATAAGGAATGTACTGAATATATAAAAAGCCAATAAAACCAGACAGTTTGAGAAGCATACTTTACTCCTGGAGGGAAACACTGTGTATTACAGAGATGTTATTTTTCTAAACTATAAGAAATAAAATTGGAAGTAAAATTGACCTAAGATTGACACAGAAAGTTAAATGGATACTAGGATCTTAACGTTGATAGGGAAAAATCTGCTGGTGAAAGTAATTCTGAGATGGAAAAGTAACAAAGAGGAACTAGATCTAGTAGGTGTTCAAACTGACCACAGAATGAAAATAAGCTTGTCACCAAAGCATGGATAGATGGCTACATCAAACACGGATTCATGAAGCAGCAGGTAAAGGAATGTGATTTTTTTTAAATGTATTTTATTGATCATGCTATAACAGTTGTCTCATTTCCCCCCTTCTCTCCCCTCCACCCTGTACCCCCTCTCCCACCCACATTCCCCCCTTTAGTTCATGTCCATGTGTCATACTTATGAGTTCTTTAGCTTCTACATTTCCCGTACTATTCTTGCCCTCCCCCTGTCTATTTTCAACCTACATTCTATGCTACTTATTCTCTATAGCTTTTCCCCCTCTCTCCTCCTCCCACCCCCCCCCCTGCTGCTAACCCTCCATGTGCCCTCCATTTCTGTGGTTCTGTTCCTGTTCTAGTTGTTTGCTTAGTTTCTTTTGGTTTTGCTTTAGGTGTGGTTGTTAATAATTGTGAGTTTGCTGTCCTTTTACTATACATGTCTTTTCTTTATCTTCTTTTCTTAGATAAGTCCATTTAGCATTTCATAAAATAAGGGCTTGGTGATGATGAACTCCTTTAACTTGACCTTATCCGAAAAGCACTTTATCTGCCCTTCCATTCTAAATGAGAGCTTTGCTGGATAGAGCAATCTGGGATGTAGGTCCTTGTCTTTCATGACTTGGAATATTTCTTTCCAGCCCCTTCTTGCCTGTAAGGTCTCTTTGGAGAAATTAGCTGACAGTCTGATGGGAACTCCTGTGTAGGTTACTGTCCCCTTATCTCTTGCTGCTTCTAGGATTCTCTCCTTTCGTTTTTTACCTTGGCTAATGTAATTATGATGTGCCTTGGTGTGTTTCTTCTTGGGTCCAACTTCTTTGGGGCTCTCTGAGCTTCTTGGACTTCCTGGAAGTCTATTTCCTTTGCCAGAGTGGGGAAGTTCTCCTTTATTATTTGTTCAAATACGTGCTCAATCTGTTGCTTTTCCCCTTCCCATTCTGGTACTCCTATAATTCAGATGTTGGAGCGTTTAAAGGTGTCCTGGATGCTCTTAAGCTTTTCCTCGATTTTTTGAATTCTTATTTCATCATGCTTTCCTGCTTAGTTGATTCTATCTTCCTTCTGGTCCACTGTATTGTTTTGAGACTCAGATTCCTTCCTTTCACTATTGGCTCTCCTCTGCATATCTTCCTGCATCTCTTTTATGGTAACGTGCATCCTTTCATCTAAATTGCACCCAAAATCAACCAATTCCGTGAGCTTTCTGATCACCAGTGTTTTGAACTGTGCATCTGATAGATTGGCTATTTCTTGGTCACTCAAAAGGATGAGTCCTGGGGGACTGATCTGTTCTGTTGGAAACATATCT